CCCAGCAGAAAGAAAAATGGGACCTAACTGGGAAGGGCCCTACAAAGTGATATCTATCGAAGGCTCCGAGTCATATAGATTAGAAGATATGGAAGGAAAACTTGTAATGCGACCTTGAAATGTGATGAATTTAAAGAAATACTATTTTTGAAGTATTTATTTCCTCCAGTGCTTGCCAATGGTTAAGTTACAAGGGTAAGGCCCTGGGGACAGAGTTCAAGGACTCCTGCCCCCGAAAAGAAAAAAAGGAGCAAGTCTCTTGGAAGGGTAAGGCCCTGGGAACAGAGTTCAAGGACTCCTGCCCCCGAAGAAAAAACAGGAGCAAGCCTCCTGAAAGGGTAAGGCCCTGGGGATAGAGTTCAAGGGTTTCTGCCCTCGAAGAAAAAATAGGAGCAAGCCTCCTGGAAGGGTAAGGCCCTGGGGACAGAGTTCAAGGACTCCTGCCCCCGAAGAAAAAACAGGAGCAAGCCTACTGTAGGGGTAAGGCCCTGGGGACAGAGTTTCAAAACTTCTGCCTCCGAATAAAAAGTAGGAACAAACTTCTGCAAGGAGTGAGACCCCGCGGGCGTACGGGTCTTAGCAATGATGAAGCTGAACCAATCGGGCAGGCAAGCCAAATTGCTCCCTAGGTGTCGGAGCTATCAAGATCTTTTAAGCAAAAAAAAAAGGGGGGAAAAAGAGAATGCACGCAAGAAAATGTAAGTACTCGAAAAAAGCTTTATTTCAAAAAGAAGGGCTTTGCGTCCCCAAGAGCTACAAGAGTAAAAAAAGAAAAAGTACAATTCAAAAGAAAAAGAGCCTTCATCTGGCTCCGGGCATCTCCAAAACATCGTCAAAGGGCGAATCAACGTAGAAAGGTTGAGCAGCTTCGAGTGCAGGTGGGGATAGGACCGAATCAGTGACAGCAGGAGTATCGAGAATATTGTGGTCAGGTGCCAAGCCCGGCAAGGCCTCCTCTGATGGGACTAGAATCACCACCTCGGGCGGGTCTGCCAAAACTTGCATCGGCGTTGGAGTCGCATCCTCGGCAGCAATCTCGGCCTCGGCCTGTTCCATCTCAGCCGATTGCACGTAGTTGTGCATCTGGAAAGAGCGGGGAGTCTGGAGGGACCCCGGCAGATCGGAGCGTCTCGTCCCACCCCTTCTTGAAGAACTCTCTGTTATTTTCCTCAAGAGCAGGCAATACATCATCGGCGAATTCCTCTCGGAGTTGTTCTTCAGACTTCCTGCTGTCTACCTCAGCCCTGAGCCTGTCCAGCTCCTGGGTCAGAGCTAGACAACTCTCCTCTGAACCGATAACCCTCTCCTCTACCGCAGAGAGCCGCTACGTCTGCTCTGTAATCCTCCTCTCAGTGTCGGCCAGGGCAACACTTAGTTTTTCAGCGCCGACCTTCGCCAACTCGGCATCCTTGAGGAGTTGTTCGATCTGAGCAGCCTGCCCCGCGAGGGTGGAATCCCTGGCAGCTACATCCTCCTTAGCACTGGCCAGGGCTCCCTCGGTTTCTTCCTTCTGCTCTCGAACCCGCTGGAGGTCCATCCTATCCAAATGATACCGCGCCGCAATTATGAAAATCTGTTAGGTGGCCTGCAAAGGAAAGGGCTCGTCAATAAACAGAAAAGCGGCTAGAAAAGACTGAAGCAAAGATGAACTTACCACCAGAGAATTCTGAATGATAGAGCGAAACAACACGTTCGTTGATCGCCCCTTGTGAGCCACCATGTCGGCCTCGAAGTGCAGCGTCTCACTCATTGCGTTGGCAACATGGGGGTCCTGCAAAATGGAGTCGTCAACCCTGATCACTCGGTTCATGTGATCAGTGGCCCGAGGATTCCACTCTGCGGCTTCCACCGTCTGTGGAAGGGGAGGAGGAGTCTGCCCCTGCTGCTATTGCTGTTGTTGTTGCCTCTGCTGCTGCTACTGCTGCTGTGGAGGAGGAGGTAACCCACAGCCTCTCCCACTTTGCTGCTGAGCAGAGGGGGCCCTAGATCCCCTGCCCAGGCCATCGTATCTTTGTTTAATCCTTCTCTCCACCTCGACCTGAGGGTCTCGGTCACGCACTTGACCCCGACCAACGGCCCTTGAAGGTGGAGTGGCACTGGTCCCTGTAGGTGGGGCTCCGCTGGTTGACCCACGCCCTCGTCCGACAGCGAAGGCTTGTCTCTGCCTCAGGAACCCCAGATTAATACGGGGCGTGTTAAACATAGCTATCTCGAGGGCGTCCTCGGCGTCTAGAGATTGCATGATTTGGAAGTCAGGCCACGAATCTCTCCCCGAAGTCCCCACCTCGGCGTGCGAAGGAACCAAATCCTCTCTAATCCCGAGCTCCTCAACTTCACCCTCAACTTCTGCCTCCGTAGCTCGATCGGGGTCTTCCTCCAAGTTCTCCTCGTCCTCTTGCCTCACCGTCTGATTGAAGAGTTCAGACCATCGCAAAGGCTCGAAAGGCTGGGAAAGCTGTGAGAACTTTTTATATCCGGGAGTGTAATTCAGGAGGATGTGGGCAGCCCGACCGAACCCGTTGTCACTAGTAAATCTCCAAACAGTGACTAGGTCGGCAAAATTCACCAAGGACCGAGGTGAAGGAGTTGTTTTCCTAGTAGAGACGTTTGCACACAAACAAAAAGAGAGGGGAGAAAGTTATGAACACTTCTAAAAAATCTCAAGAACAAAATAATAGACCCGAAGAAACCGACGTACTTGTCGTTCTCCATTCCAAAGGGCATAACAAGTCATTGTACTCGGGACCGGCACCCCTCTGCCAAGATCCCTTGAAGATGAGTAGGTCATCCTTGTACCCCTTGTCCGAGTTTAGAAGGTGAGTTACGAGGTACATGGATGGGTCCCTGGCTTTGAGGTAGAAGTTTTGTTGAGGCATGACTCTCAAGAGGGAGTAGCAAAAGAGGATATCGTTTAGCCCAACATTTACCCCGAGACGCTTGTTAAACTCTAAGACTCCCATAATTATTCTGAAGACACTAAGGCAACACTGCCCGGGAAGAGGTGAAAATGGGAGAGGAATTGGAGGAGTAGAGGGGGCAGAGGGAACCTAATTCCGCCCTCTATGATGGCTTTGGTATAAAATGGCATCTCATCCTCGGCCCTGAGGGTACGAGAATGCAAAGCTGGATCATAATCCTCTATGTGTACATATGGGGGGATGTTGTACTTGACCTTAAACCTATTAATTTGCCCGCCCCCCTTTACTTTATATTTCTCTGGCCTCGAAAAACTGGCCTGAGAATTCTCGGGGGCAGGGCGACGACGGGGCATCTCCAAAAAGTGATAAAAAGTGAAGGAGGGGGTTTTTCCACGAAGATCCCCAAGGAGGCTTCCCGAGGATCGGTCGCTGAGTGGTAACCAGAAACACCTCCAGTTATCGAAAAAACAAAATGAACATAAAAATGAGAAGAAAAGAAGAGACGGAGGGCGAAGAAAGGGAAGATACAAAGACTCACCAGAACGTAAAAGGAAGTTTTTCTTAAAAACTTGAAGCGACTCCTTCCTCCAGAATGTTCAAAAGCAAGGATGAGTCTGCTGGCCTTGAGACTCTGGTGAAAGATTGGATAGTAGACAACAAAAGGAAAGGGATCTCCGGCGAGGTTTTAGGCAAGGGCTCTCTGAAGAAATCTAAAATGGTAAAGTGAGAGAGGGAGAGAGGAAGCCCATTTATATAGTACTCATCCCCATCATTTGGGCACGAAGCACGAAGAGGCGCATTTAATGCGCACGACCTCTGAAGCAGGGGAAAGCGGCTGAAGGCAATGATGAAGTAGTTGGAGTAGTTACAGAACCCTTCGTTCCTTACAACGCGTGTCCTTGGTGTCAGGAGATCGAAGGCTGGGGGCAGTTGATAGGACATTTCCAAATACTCCAAGATGAAGACACGTGTCTTCGGCATCAGTAAATTCTTATTACTGTAATCACAACACATACCTGTCGGATCACAAATCCCTCTTTCCCCGAGGTACTGTTCATAGGGATCAATGACACCCAGTACGTTTACGTACCGACACGTATCTCTCGGGCGGATATGGGGTACATCGGTCCCTACATGTACCACTCCCCTCAGTACCGAGATGTACCCGTTCAGGATGGCGTTCTCTGCTCCTGTAAAGGCTATTGATGTACAGGTCACTAGCCTAGGCTAGGCTAGGTTAGTCATCATGACCTCGTCTTACACAATTGGTGTCAAAAAGCACAGGAAGGCAGAAGACACAGCCAATGGGGAATGGGCGAGTGGCATATTGTGTCACATCAAAGACAAAAAATCCTGATGCCCTTGCTGACACACGACTTGGGAAAGTAAGCATTTAATTAGACCATTCTGTTGATGAGACAACATTTAATGCGGTAAGGCTCGGAAGAGAAATGTAATAAATGTCCTTGAGACTGGGCATTTATTACACCCTTGCCGAGAAGAGCTCATTAAACATTCGACAGGGCGATGACGCAGCATTGGTTGCTCGGGGTCCTGAGCAATTAAGAGAGAAGACATTCCTCATAGGAATTAGTGTGCCCGTATCTAATGATCACCTACTGACCACACTGACAGCAATCATGAATTTTTGAGTATAAATATTCTTCGCAAAAGGCAAGACGGTGTGCAACGAAAAACTTTTTTCAAACCTATACTCAGTGTTTTCTTCTTTCTCTCTCTCAACAACTGACTTGATCATCAGGGGATACATCGAAAAATACTCCGGCGCCCTTTTAACTTGTTTTTCTCTGTTCTAAGAACCTCTCTCGACCTTACTGAAACGCTCTTTTAATCCACGAAAGTCACCCATTATCTTTCCAGGTCACCAACGGATCTCAGTCTGTTTTAAATATCAAGATTGACCATTTGATTGATTGATTTGAATTCACCACAAAAAAATATTTTCTTGTGTTTATATTGTGTAAGATCACGTACGGTAACTCTTCAACTTAAACTATCATTATTTATGATTCGAAGAAATCAAGTCAAACCGAAATGTCCGAACCAGCCGTTTCGTAATTGCGAATCACACCATCTGTGAGCACTGTTTCAACGTATCTTCATTATCCATCAAACCAGCTAGAATTTTACAGTCAATAATCTTCTTACTCTTTCTCTCTCCTCCTCTCTCCCTGGGTTACGGTTACTCTACTTTGGTTTTGCTACATCGGAGCTGTGACTGTGATGGATATGGTGCCAATCAGAGTAGAAACGAACGGTTCAAACTCCGAAACTCAAGCCTCTGTAGGAGTTTCCGGTGACCGTGAAATATCGGACCGAGCTGCCGGTGAAGGTGTAACGGAACGAACTGTAACTGCACAAGATGTCCCTACCAACACATCGACAGAAAACTCCGGCGACGGCGACGATGAGGTAGTTAACGTTTTCTCTATTTATCTGTCTCTTGGCCTGTTTGGTTCGATGGAAAATGGGGAGGTTCGAATAGAAAAAGGGGTGGAATGGAAGAAGGATAGAAACACACTCCATTCCATCCGCCCGCTAATTTGTTTCCTCCCGAAATTGGAAAAAAAATAAGGACGGAAAAAGGAATCTAACGAGTCAAGTTGTTAAAATTATATTTATGCCCTCATTACTTGCTTTCTTCTTAAATGCGCTGATAATGTGCTATCCACGTGACTGGGTCTTTTCTTTTTAAAAGGTTACGTATCAAAACTTTAAAAAATGGTACATGTGGTAGTTAGGTAGGGTTGTTAATGAAACTGAACTATTTAAGTCTGAGTTCGATTATGATTCGGTTTATCTAGATTTGTTCGTTTTTTAAATAAATCAAACTTGAACAAGTTTTTAGACTCGTTTAAAAAACAAGTCTTACAAGTTCGGTTTAAACTCGATAGACTCGATTCGTTTATATGTAAATACTCGAGCTCTACTTATTTTTAGCTCGTTCAGAACAATTTTTTCGGCTCGATTAAGAACAAATTTTTCAAACTCGGCTCAGACTTGTTTCACTAACATCCCTAATCATAGTTAGAAAAAATTGAATTGTGTAATTATTTATCAGTTATATCCTACCAAATGTATTCTTTTAAAAAATTTATTTGTTATAGAAAATATATTTTTCATAAACAAGGATATAATGGTAAATTAAGTCTATACATATTTTCTTTTTCTTTTTTCATTTTTCCTCTAAAACGAAAAAATAAAAATTTAATTCCTCCCACTTTTTAATCATCATACCAAACAAGAAGGAGAAAAAATAATTTTCCCTCCTCAAAAAATAAAAAATCTAAACCTTCAATTTTTTATCCATCTAATTTTCAATTCCTCCAACAAATCGACCATCTAGGATGAAAATGCACGTGTGTGGGTCTCTGTGTGTGTGAACAGGTCGAGAGAGTTAACAATTCCATTGGTTTACAAAACTTTCATGTGCACGCCTGTGACTAATCATTCCTAACTTTTTTTTTTTTTATAATTATTTTTAATAGTGAGAGTATTGATTAGGTGTGCGAGGATGTACGATAATTTGAGTAATTCACTTTTAATTTAATGGTAGTTTTAATTAAGTAAGAATAATAGAGTCACAAATCAAGTGGATAGCATAAAAACACCATCATAAAGTTATGCTGCTTAAAAAAAAATTATTCTGACCCACATATCTTTTGTTAATTAAATTATTGGGTTAATTACATTAGTGGTGCTCAAAGTATGAAGTTTGTCTTATTTTGGTCCTTAAAATATTAAAATATTTATATAGGGTCTCTCAAGTAAACAACATTCAAATTGTTAACAATTTTTTATTATAAACTTATTATGCAATACCTAAATATGGATAAAAAATAATTTTGATACTTCAATACTTTAAAGATTAAAATGATGCAATTGAAATATTGGAGATCAAAATAAGACAAATTTCATACTTTAGGAACCTCCGTACAATTTACCCTAAATTTTCAATTAGAGTTGGAGTGGAAGATATTTTTATTTCTTTTTTTTTTTGGCACTATTTTTAGTGAGGTCAACCAACACAAGAGTTCTACTTCACTACTTGAATTTCTCCCAATCATCTATCTCATATTATAGTTAGAAAATTGAATTCTCAATGTATAATAGTATAAACAACAGTCAAGATTAATTCAATCTTAATCTATTTTGATCTAATAATACAAAATCTATCTTAAATTTTTTTTTTGCCCAAAAATATTAACTTTTTTACATGACCCCTAATGTTAGACAAGTCCGTCAACACACTTCTCAATATCAAATAATCACATCAATTCACATTTACCTCAAATTATTATTTAAAATACAAATATTTTAAGATCAGTTCAATTTTTGATATTATATGGTGTCTTCATGGATTATTACTAGTTATTACATATTCTGGCATGATCTTTTCATTTTTATTGTTCTAATTTTTGCGAGAGGTCTAGGAATTAATGTAGGGTGCAAATCTTTTAGAGGGATTCATATTTTGCTATGCGAAAATTCTAAAACTTCTCCGTCGGTATATTTAAAGGCTAAATTTTTTATATTAATGTGACATTTCTATTAGCTTTTATTATTTATTCTATTAACGCCAATGGTATAATTTTTGATGGAATGAGCAATGAAGACTAACAGAAAGTCCACATTACAACATATTTAATAAATTTAGGGTATAAATTTAGACCTTAAGGTATGTTCGCACTCAACCACCCTATAGGCCCATCATTGAAATAATTGTGTATTATTTTTGTAATAAATTCATATGTCGTATTTAAAATTACGTGGCCTACCTTAAAAAGGTATTTGTGTGTTTTTTAAGCAATCTCCACTTGTAACTTTAACTCTTTTATTCATATTCTTAATTCATTGTGTGTCGGTTGGGGAATAATAACTTCGGCTTTGGGCCACTGGTCAATAATTTTTTTTGGTTCAACGTAATTCACATGTATTTTAATTAATTTTTTTTTAATTCGATATAAATAAATTATTCACGTAGCAAAGTATTCACTTGACTTTTGTCCTCATGAAAATAAAAAATTACCGAGACCCCAACTCGTCAAAAATTACCATAGTCTCTATTACCACTACGCGTTAGTTGAGAATTGTATTCCGACTATCGAGGCCTTGGAGGCTGACACGCACAAAGATACCCACCCATCTTTTTGACAACTCTCCTTTTTATCTGTCTCTCTCTCTCACAGCATGCATATGTTACTATTATCTGCAAAGTCACCTGCTTTTCTTCAACTATCTGTTCTACAATGACGAAGGGTGGCTACTAAATTCCCAGAAATTTTCCTCTTGTTCATGGTTGGTCTATCTCTCACTTCCTTCTTTCTCCTCTCTGGTCAACTTTACTTTCTTAATTCATCTTTAGTTCGCCACCAATTAGTTTTTTGACTCATTGTCTAAAAATTGTTTATGGTTTTCTATTATAGAATTTTTTTAGGTTTTCTCAGATCTCAATGCAGGCTCGTATATACGGAGGCGACTAGCTGTATTTCAATCAGTTTTCAGTGTGGGTTTGAAATGGCACGGACTCACCTTTAGTTTTAAACTTTTTGGTTATCCCTTGAAGCGAGTAGCTTGTCTTTCTCTCTATGTGTTTAGGGTATCTGATACACCCGTTTCATGATTTGATGAATATTGCCCATTTCACTATTATATAATTTTCTGGGTATTTGTTCTTAGTATCTGATAAACCTATTTCCTAATTTGAAGAAGACCCTTTTTTTAGATGTTTAATAGAGAAATGTTCATTAATTTTGCAATTACTCCACAATTGTTTGGAAGTTTTCTGCTTTAATGTTACCTTGATAAGAGGATGAGTTGTTTTTGCTGTTATTTCTTTACTTACTTGAAGTTTGACAGAACCCAATTTTAATATGCTTAGAATTCAACATGCAGAAATTGAGGAGCCCAGCTATTAGACAAGCTTCTATTTCAATGGGGGAACACAATGATGTGGAGTATGTAGGGATTAATGAAGTGATTTCTCCTAGGATACATAGTGGTAGGAAAGTCTCAGTGCTACCCCTTGTTTTTCTTATCTTCTATGAGGTATCGGGGGGACCGTTTGGAGTTGAGGATAGTGTGCAGGCAGCTGGCCCCCTTCTGGCCCTTCTTGGATTCTTGGTCTTCCCATTCATATGGAGCATTCCCGAAGCTTTAATAACTGCTGAAATGGGTACCATGTTCCCTGAAAATGGTGGATATGTTGTTTGGGTTTCCTCTGCTTTGGGTCCTTTTTGGGGATTTCAGCAAGGCTGGATGAAATGGCTGAGTGGGGTTATTGATAATGCTTTATACCCAGTGATGTTTCTTGATTACTTAAAATCGGAGATCCCTGCAGCAGGTGGTGGTCTTCTGAGGGTTATAGCAGTGCTGGCTTTGACTGTAGTCCTCACTTACATGAACTATAGGGGCTTAACCATCGTGGGCTGGGTTGCTGTTCTATTGGGGGTTTTCTCAATCCTTCCTTTTTTGGTTATGGGACTTATCTCAATTCCAAAAATAACGCCTTCAAGATGGTTAGTGGCGGATCTACACCATGTGGACTGGAACTTGTATCTGAACACTCTCTTTTGGAATCTGAACTACTGGGACTCAATAAGTACACTTGCTGGGGAGGTAGAAAACCCTAAGAAGACGTTACCTAAGGCTCTGTTTTATGCTTTGATTCTCGTTGTTCTCGGGTATTTCTTCCCTCTTCTAACAGGTACAGGAGCCATTCCGCTCAACCGAGAGTTATGGACTGACGGGTATTTTTCAGATATTGCCAAAATTCTGGGAGGTGTGTGGTTGAGATGGTGGATTCAAGGGGCTGCCGCAATGTCAAATATGGGAATGTTTTTTGCCGAGATGAGCAGTGACTCTTTCCAACTTCTTGGTATGGCTGAAAGAGGGATGCTTCCTGAGTTCTTTGCCAAGAGGTCTCGATATGGAACTCCCCTCGTTGGGATCTTATTTTCAGCTTCTGGTGTGATTTTGCTTTCGTGGCTTAGCTTTCAAGAGATAGTCGCCGCAGAAAACTTCTTGTATTGTTTTGGAATGATTTTGGAGTTCATAGCATTTATACGGTTAAGGATAAAATACCCGGCTGCGTCTCGGCCTTACAAGATACCTGTAGGAACAGCAGGAGCCATTCTGATGTGTATTCCTCCAACCATATTGATTTGTGTTGTGTTGGCTCTTTCATCGGTCAAAGTCCTGGTGGTAAGCCTTGTTGCTGTCGCGATTGGGCTACTGATGCAACCATGTCTGAGGCACATTGAGAAAAAGAGATGGATTAAATTTTCCATAAGTTCTGATCTCCCAGATATTCACAATTCTATTCATGAGAACACAGAATCTTTAATCAATTGAGCGATCATGGTTCTCTTGCTGAGCCAAAACAACTCCACTACTGTAATGCAAGCTGCAAATACATGAAGTCTCTGGAATTATGAAAGCAGCCAATGCTGAAAAGTCTGGAAAGATCTCTTTTCGGTGACCACAAAGGGTGAGAGCTTTTGCATCTCAGCATGTTATTTACCGTGTTCAACTTTTTTATCCATTTTCGGCAGTAGTTGTTTCATTGTTGTTGCTCGAGTCATGGTGGATGCAGACGATGATTACCATCAACCTTTTCACAAAACTATGTAATTTGAATCTTTTAAATTGCAATAATGTTATATGAGATGCAATTTTTTTTTTTTGCGTTTTCTTTCCATCAATGACATGTGAGATGCAAAATTTTAGTTGTAGAAATAGTTGACTCAAGCACACCTGTTGATAATCTTTCTTCGTGATATCTTCAATGGCCTCTTTTACATCGAATGCGAAGATCTTTCTGATCGCCTCGGGAACTTGTGCAATGTTTTATGATTGAAAACCTTTTGTTGAACATAGCGTTGGTATTTTAATTCAACTTGAATATTGATGGCTCTCTTGGGCAGACCTACAAAGGATGAAGTCAGTGGCCCGAGTGTGGAGCAAATGACTGCATATAGGTCTTTAATGCTGTGTTGCTTTCTGATGGCAAGCCAAAGGATGAAAGCTCATTCTAGGGATTACTTGGTTGAACCAGGTGAGATGATACCACTGAACAGGATGGGAATGTTTCCCGGCAACTTTCCCATGAAGAGACAGTACTAAAATCTTAAAGAGTTGTACGGCTTTACCTCACCACATCCTTCCTTAGCTAGGTAGGTGCATTGAATTCTTGATTTCCAACAGGTCAGATGAGTTTGTAGATGGGCAATGTTTTTGAGCAACAACGGTACTTAGTTTAGCCTCTTCAGAGACCATATTAAGATGCAATCCCAGGGTTCTCATGTTCGAGGCAGAAGTTCACCAGTGTTCCGAGAACCATACCACAAAAGAGTCACAAAATAGCATATCTCCCATCCCAATGATATGTATTATCAAAGGTCTAACCTTGTCACACATTTTAAGTAGCTTTTACCAAGTCCAGGAGCTGATCCATGTAGCCTCATATCTCAGAAGCTTCGTCCTTTAAGGTTAGTAGGATTGTCCATAAGTCATGTTGTGTTGTGTTAAATTGGTATCATGTATAAATCGTGTTTAATCGAATTTATGTCAATCTATTTATTTGACAGGTATTTAAGATCCACCCATGAACCCATTAAGGCTAAAATCAAATTTACTAATTCCGTGTCGATTTTGTGCCGCGTTTGCAAATTGTGTCAAAAAATCGATTTGAATGGTAGAAAATATGGAGTTCTATCGCAAAAATGCACCATCCAATGCTAAGTGCAAGAAGATGTAAATACTTGCAGCCATCATTAACAAGTGCTTCCATAAACTGAAAACAGAAAGCTAGAAATTAGAAAGTGTGTCCCATTTTGTTTAGTCCCTTCCTGTTGTACCAATGCAATCATATAACTAATAAGGAGAGAGTAGAAACAAGGTCACAAAATTTTATAATTTCACAAAGGGATGTGAAAGTCATAGTTCTACCAGTGTAGAAAAGATTAGCAAAAAAAAAAAACCATAGAACAAACAGTAAGAGGAAATTATCAATTCATGAACACCCTCAAAACAAACATAACAATGAGCATAAAAAAGATCATGGTAAAGAGTCTACTTTCACTGTCCGTCTGCCGCTAGCTGTACTTCACATTCCAACCAAGATTCAAGATAGGTACCATGCATCAATTTATTTGTGCACAAAAGTTCAAATCCCCCAATAAGAATTGTCGTCCATGCCTCATCCCCATTTCAAGATAAGTCATGCATGTCATCTGGAATGCTAGTGTTCATACTCGGCGTTTCTTTCGGAGTCGACAGCCATTATGCGGACGTCGCGTTGTGTCTTCAATATAAACGATGGGATTTTGATCTCCTCGAGAATGTGTGTACCCCTCTCTGAAGCTCAAAATTGCTTGCTTCTTCTTCTTAAAATAGGTGAACCCATTCACTTTCATTACAACTGACTTTAATCCCGTATTTCTTGCAAGACGTCCAACATGTTCTGCAGTTGCTTCAGCAGCATATCGAGAAACTTTAGGCCCACCTTTCATTTCTGACAAGCATCCCGACGAAGCCCCAAATTTTTTGTTCCCCTTAGAATCCGTTACAGTAACAAAGGTATTGTTGCGAATCATCTTAACATGGACGATATCAGCATTTTGCTCAACCAGATGCTGACCATATTGAGGACCTCCCATGAAATCCTTTCCATTTTCCTCAATAATTCCCCTCACGAAATCCATGGACCTAGTATTCCTCCCAGTTTCAAACTCCTTGGGGCTTCCAGAATGTATATAACTACTAAAAGCAACAGCACGAGGTGGGAGAACATTTCCCTTCACTTTGATAAAGCCCAACATCATTCCCAAATTTCCCAAGAAATGGGGAACTACATAGTCACTCGGAAGAGCTTTGCCTCTCAAGCTCCCAAAAGAACCTGCAAAACCCACATACATTCTTTTGGTAAGAAAAGGTAATACCATTGATAGAATGAAAAACCACAAAATTGAACCCCAAGGGATGATAACACGAACGAGCTATAAACCAAGATGTTTTGAGTTCGAATCTTGACAATGCCTTAGAGCTAGGCCGTTAGGAACTTATCTCTTATACATACCCTAGTCCCGGCGTAAATGACCTACCTTTAACGGAACCAGACTATTGAACCGGGACACACGAGACTATTGAACCCAATCAAGAAAAACCAAAAAATGGGGGCCCTCTCTCCGGTCTACACAACTATTCTACATGAATAGCTCAAATAGGATATGTTGATAGTTGAACCCCCAAATTAACTTCTCACAACAAATGTTTCCACTGCAACGGGGCACTAATTTCACATCTGGATGTACCATGAAAAACTGAATGCCAATCCATTGAATTGCAAAAATGTTTTGAAGGTTTGAATCTATCAAGGGGTACTAGACATCTTCTAGGTAATTGCAACCGTTGCAGATATAATGGTGAGATATTGAAACACAACGAAGAAACCATGTTCTTTGCCATTTATTCACTTTCATGTTCATAGCAAAGATGAAAGAAATCAAATTCCACATGAAGTCTATACACACCTATACAAAAATGCCTCTAACTTGGTATGCAAAACGTTCTAAATAAATAATTCCCAAAATTTCCAAGGTTTTGCTAAACTAATATTACAATTAACAACTATACTCCAAAGTTTTTCTAATGTAATTTTGGATCCCAAGTAATCCAAACGGACACAAACCCGTTTATCATTTCCAGGCAAAAAACCATACCACAGCAAAACCCATTTCAGGATACCCAAAAATCTGTCTCACACACACACGCACGCACATAACTGTAACACACAAAGTAAGATGAACTTGCCTGAAAGAAAATCGAAGTTTTGAGACTGCTCAGAGATTTTGGAAGCACGGAGGAGCGGATTGAAAGGTGGTCCAGATCTGGAGCCGAAAATCCGAGAAGCGTAGTTGAACAACTCGGCCCGAGCAGAGAACCGAGAGAAGGGTCGTTGGGTAATCATGGATTTTTGTTGATTATTAGGGTTTCGCAGGCTTGAGATCAGTGTATATGAAGCAGAGGGTAAGGTTAGAGAATGGGGGCCAGAGAGAGAATTTTACTATGGTTTAGACTTTAGATAGAGAGGATAACCAAGTGGCCCAAATTTTAATTTTATCACTTTATTCCGTAAAATTTCCTATTTACATTTTAATAATATTATTTAAAATCAACCAATCGAAAATTGATTATTCTTTCAAATTTAGATGCCGACCACCACCGTAACTCAAATAAGTATAGGACACGTACCTATCCCTTAAATTGAATAACGAAATTCATCGTGTACATGCGTGTTTAGGGGTATTTCTTAAACAAAAAAAAAACTAAACTAAATTGACATCATCAAAATTTCCTAAAATTACACTTAAAATCTCTTTCTCTCATCCTTAATTGTTAAAAAAATTAAATATTATTTATACTTAATTTATTATAGTTGATAGATAACAAGTTAGCTATGTTTTAGAATCAAATTAGGAGTAACTCGTGACTGAAGGCACGGTGTAATATGAATTATTTTGAGTCGGATGTTGGTGACTGTTAAATGAATCTATTAAAGATCATCGGATGAATTTATTAAAACATCTTTTATTTTATATTATAAAATAATTAAATTAGATTTAAGTAAATATTATTCTTTATAAATATTAGTTATTCTCGGGGCCTAAAGGCACAAAGTAATAAAAAATGATAAACAATAAACATATTTGTATTCATTTTCAAAGTTAAATCACAAACATAGAAAAGAGATAAATGAATTTAACCATTGGTTGTAGTGGGGGTGAGACGTGGTGGGCGACAGTGGTAGTGATAGGAGACAGTGATGGGTGACAATGATCATGGTGGCGGCTGCGGTGGTGGTGGCTGCGGTGGTGCGGCGACGGTGCGTGTGGTGGTGGTGGCAACAATGGGTGTGGCGGCGATGGTGATGGTAGTAGAGGTAGTGGTGAGACGGTTTCAAACACTATTTTTTTTTGAAGTATTTGTTAGAAATAATTCTTATAAGTACTTTTAGAAATTCACTCCAAACACACTTTTAGGAGTCTATTTGTTCTATTTAATTTAGGGTGTTAATATTAGTCGTTAGATTAACTTTAAAATAAAATTTAAAACGATTTGAACTGCGAAAAGTAAAAGTCATTTTGTTTATTTTTGAAATTTAAATTGTAAGCTACTTTATTATATAGATTAGACATATACCTGAATGATGATATCCCCTCTTCAGTTTCTTAGAGTATCTCTAAGAGAGAAGTTAAAGTACATAAAAATTTTAAATTTTAACTATTGTATCTTAAAATTCCATTCCAACGTAACATCTCTAGAGCATTTAAAATAATATTTTGGCTACACTGTAGCAACATGCATGTATAAGTATTTTATAATATTTTATTTCTCATCCTTTCATTTCCTCAATTCTCTTGCTTTCCTTCTTATTATTCCCATAAAAAAATAATATAAAAAAATAAGAAATAATATTTAAAGGAAATAGTTAAAAATATAAAAAAATCTGTAAGAGTGTGTATTAAAAAAGTGAGTAATTAAAATAAAAAATATTATTTTTTAAGTAGCTGAACTAATTAAAAAAAGTTTGAACCTGCATTGTCTTTTCTCCTGCCATGCTAGAAGCATAAATCAACCAATCATTCCCTTCCCTACAAACTGCCTTTACTCTAAACTTCTCATTTTCAGTGAATCTTATTTCTTTTTCCCATTTTATTGCATGTTGTCTAATTGCAGCTCTAAACTCAGCAATTGTTTTGAACAACATACCTAACTTAAACTGTGGGTCAACCATATCAGACTTTGAATTAACTGTGGATATTTCACCCTCTTTCTTTACAATGTCCTCCTTCCTCGTCGTCCGATGATGAACCACTAAGACATAATAATTATTCACTGTCATAGTATTCAGCACACAAATCATTATCAACATCATTTGTTGTGCCTTTTTTACTATCAACACCTTTCCCTTTGTCTTTGTAAAACATCCTTATCGACAAATGTCTCATATAATTGATCATCAATTATGTTATAGTCTGATGAGTCACTATCATTCATATCCCCATTACAACTTGATTCTGGATGTTGTTCGTGAACATGGTCAGTCTCAACTCCAACTTCTTATTGTATGTTACCACAGTTTGACTTAAACCTGACTTTGCTTAATATGGTCAACATAAATATCAATCACTTTGTCCTCATCAACCCAATTGATCATGTCCAAGACTTGCACATCATTTTCTAACAACCTCCATTCATTCCAAGACCTATGATAGAATTTATTAATCTCATAGGATCCTAATGATATCTCATCAGCATACAATCTCATAGTATCTTTTAACATACTATCCGACTCAATTAATGAAATCTCATCAACATGACACATATCAATGTGATTGACCTTCCCACCAATATTTGCTCTATCACCCAAATATTCTAATCTTCCACCATGATGCAATCTGATAGTAAAAATATTTAGAAGATTGATCTGCATGTACCACCAAATGACCAACAAGCTACACACTTTTAATCTTATATAACCCCACAATGCAAACACAATTGTCCAGGGAAAAAGTAACAAAATAACAACACACAAATCTGCATGCAGACAAAACTGGTCCCCACAATAGACCCACAAACATTGAAACAATGAACCCCACAATGCAAGCACAATAGAAAAATCGTAATAAAATAACAAAAACACAAACACACCCCATACAAAAAATTGGTCCCATCCATATACCCACACACATTTCAGACTGACGAAATGGACACAGTTTACAAACACACAAACCCACCAGACTGAACCCCATATTCCAAACACAACAGAAAAGTTTAACTCAATTATTATTGTTGTGGGTGTTATAGGTTTCCCTGTCTACAAAGAATCAGAGAAATGTTACTAGATGTTGCTTTAGGAGTACAATTGGAATTTGATGCTACATGCACTACAAACATTTTGTCCAAACATGTGTTATATCGATCCATTATCTCTCAATTGATGCACTGTGCAAAAATTAAAGCATCCTGACAAGATTCATGGTCATCACTATGTTAACGACAGAATTAAGGAGTCAAGTAAAAAACTCTGGCAAACAATTAAAAAAAAAGAGGGAAGAAAACACACTTGAGCAAGCCCTTGATTGCATTATTGTGATTCTGCTGCATTGCATTACATTGTCTTATTGTTCTGTTTGCACTTAAAATACAAAATTATAAATACATTCGATGCGGGTATTGTTGGCAAGCCTAGAGTTACTAAGAGCTTGCCACGTGTCAAGATGTGAAGAAAATGTGAGAAATGATTAGCCACAATTTTAGTTTGAAAGCAAGAATAATTGTCTATGAGGTACAAAGTCAATTAATCGTCGATAGATGGAAAAATTGTCTAAAGGAGTGGCTATAAAAAGAGAAAAAGAAGAAAGTTGAGAGACAACTCAAATCCCCCACAAAACCCACAATTAGGGCATTTAGGAATAGTGCTAAAGTTAGTTTTAAGAAGTAGTTAGTGTTGCAATCAAAGTTTGTCAATAAACAATTCAAACTGGCATTGTAGCTCTAATGGTCATTACAATGTTCACAGTGCCTGTCACTTAGTAGTGGATCAGAGACTTGCATAGTAGCAGTAACTTGGTTACATAATTTTAAAAGATGTCCTTACGCAACAGAGTCTTGGCAACATTGCACAATTCTATTAGATTGGCAGGCAATGGATCTTCCACCAGACTAGTGGATGTAAGAGGACTTCCCTTTATTTCTTACGAACTGCTGGTCGATTTGCCGAAACAGAAACACAGCGATCTACCAGGGTACTAAGCAAGAGCCAACAGAAATTGTGAGAGAAGCAAAGGAGTACCTTAGCCAGTATCAAAGAGCATTAGAACCTGGTGAGCTTAATTCACCTCCTTCTTTCATTGGTCCCAGACCTCAGACATTTAAAGTCAACTTTGATGGGGCCATCTTTGAGCATAAGCATTAAGCAAGCAATTGGTGTTGGAGTTGTAATTAGAGATGAAGGGAGATTCTTTGTAGCTGGTATGTTAAGGAAGTTCATTGCACATAATGATGCTAAGACAACAGAGACAATGGCAACAAGGGAAGCAGTGTGGTTTGCTCAAGAACAAGGCTGTCAAGAAATTACATTGTCATGAAGTCCATAACGGAAGCTGCTAATGAAAAAGAATTTTCTCCCTTGGATTCCCTAATTTCGGATATCCATCAAGGGTTGAAAATTTTTATTTTCTTCGAAGTTTCAACAGTTTGTAGGACAGGTAATACTATGGCACATTAGTTGGCTAGACATGCTGAATTTCTTAATGAAACTTCTACCGTTTCCTTAAAAAAAATAGTAGTCTCTATTTTAAAGAACATCGTATCTAAAATAGAGAGCATACTTAGTAAAAAAAAAAAATAAAGAGTAAATTTTTGTATACCAATCCAATATGACTCTCTATTTTTATCATTTTAACATTTTATGCTTCTTGTTTGGAAATAAATTTAGCTTCCCTCTCATTTTCTTCCATTATTTTATCAAATTAGAATATTTTATTGATCTTGCCATTTATCGTCCATCTTGTTTGGCACTTCAATCAGATTTGTCTAATCTATTGATCAAAGGGAATTATTTCGGAGAAATCTCAGAGTCTTACACAAAATAAAGGTTTTAGTTTAAATCAAGTACTCTAAATGTCATTTGACGAGGAATTAAGTATACCATTTTTTTGTTTCAAAAAAATAGAGTGAGAGTGAGTTTGACTCTTCAAATATAGAGAGTCAAATTAAACTCTATATTTTAGAGAAGTAATAAAGAATACATTAGAGATAAAATTTTAGGAGACAGTTCTCTAAAATAGAGAATTTAGGGAAATGAATAGTCTATTTGAAATGCTCTAAAAATGGAATTGGTGCAAATTGTTTGCTTTTATCGTGCTTACATGGGAATCATTACTTCGGTCCTTTCGTTTCTCTAGGAGGTTCTAATTTCAACGTCATCAACTTTTAGTAGCAATTCTGGAGAATGTCAAAAGGCTGGAGGTGCATGCATGCATCAGGATGTATGATCAAGCAGATTTGGGTGGGGGTTCACAATGAGTTATATATATATATATAATCTCTCTCTATTCCTCAACATACATGCAACGACAAAGTACACAAGCAAATCACACACATCAAATGTATACCAAAAGAAAACAATGTTCCTCAAAAACACCCAGGACAGTGTCAGCCATGGATGGTAATAACTCCATCTCTCTCTCTCTCTATATACGCGTTCGAAACAAAAGATGTAGATGTTGAAGCCTGAGCATTTGTGTTAGAACTTAGAAGCATCTGAACTCGGAAGTGTTTGCTTGAAATCTGGGCTAAGTTTTTATTGCTTATCAAGGTACAAGTGAAACATGAATATATAAATTTTTTCTTCTAATTTTTCTCTTCATTCTCTTTCTTTGTATTTTTCCAGAACTTTTTAGAAGATATTATCTACAATCAAGTTTTTATAATATGTACCAAGTATGAACATTTTTGACTCTCTGCAGAAATTTCAAGAACATTGAGAAAGCTTCCACCAGTTGATTACCTATTTCAAATCAAATCGTTCTCGTTGTTTTCCGTGACAGAAGAGAATAGATTTGAATCTGGTGACTTTGAATCTGGTGGCTACAAATGGTGAGTTGAAGTTGAAATTGAAATTCTTTCAGCACTATTTGGTGAGGTCGTCTTCTCATTATCTGGGTTGCCTTGTTGGTAGGAAATTGTGTCTATACCCTAATGGAGATGAAAAACGAAATGAGAAAGACCATATCTCTCTCTACTTAGCAATATTAGCGACAGATACATTACCTCTTGGTTGGGGGTTAATGTCAAATTCGACTTGTTTGTGTACGATCATATCAGAGACAAGTACCTGACCATCCAAAGTAAAATTTCACAAAATGCTCATTCTTTCACTTGTAGTAATTATAACTCTGTTTAAGCTATATGAGACAGTATGACTTCAATTGTTTCTGTGCATCATGTGTGTAGATGCTGATGGGAGAGTAAGACATTTCCACAGGTTTAAGACTGAGTTCGGTTTCGCCAAATTACTTTCCCTCGACACTTTCAAAGATGCTTCTAATGGATACCTCATTGATGAATCCTGTGTGTTTGGAGCCGAGGTTTATTTCATTAAATCTACTGGCAGAGGAGAGTGCCTTTCTTTGAAGAAAACTTATACCAATAGTTATACTTGGGAGATCAAAAATTTTTCAGAAATAAAAGACAAGGAGTTGTTCTCTGAATCTTTCACCATAGGAAAGCTAAAATGGTTTGAGCCCTTGGAGTTCATTACTTAATTCTGATTCTGTATGCACCATAACTAGATGGAATTATTTCTTATATTCTTTCTTTATTGATCCAGGAAGCTAATTATTTATCCCAAAGGAAATCGCTGTGGAGAGGGCAATAGCTTATCTGTCTTTCTAGATTTAGTTGATTGTGATTCTGTTCCAACAAAGAAAAAATTCTATGCAAAATTTAGCTTGCGGGTAAAAGACAGAGTCAATGGCAAACACTGCGAATTGAAAGGTGAACACCTGCCCTGCATCTCTAACACTTGTACTTTTTCGCAGATTCTTGAGTACAGCTGATGAACTGAGAAACTGGTTTGTCACAATTTTCCTTTTAAAATTAGTTTGTTTACTTCCTCTAAAAATTTTCCTTCTAAATTTCTGTCACAGATGAGGCTTGGTTCGGGGACACGAGCAAAGTATGGGGTTATACTCAGGCAATTTCTCTTGCAGATCTCTGACACGTCGAAGTGCTTCATAGTAGAAGATAGTCTAGTTGTTGAAGCGCAAATTCATTTTATGTCTGATGTGACAGATTTCTCTTAACAAGAGGATTGTGCCTGCTTTAAAAAGCATTGTTTTGTATAATGTCATGCTTCTTCAGGCAATATTGTTCCTTCTTTTAGCCAGGTCGCTAGCTAGTAACAATTTTCCAGCTATTCCAATTGTTACCTTGTCTATCTGGAAAAAGAAAAGAGATATTGGTAGCTCTTTTGCTATACATAATCTAGATTTTGCATTTTATATTCCAGAACAACACACCTAAAGTAGAGAAAAAAACACCCACAGAATGGTGAAAAGAAGCTTGAAAAACGGGGCTTACTTAAACCTCAAAAACAAATGTTTTGTTTTGGTGCCATGGAAAAGTAAAAGAGTCGCCTAAGTGCTTGTATAAAAATAGTGTTGGCTACGTCAACAAAAAGCACATAGGTTTGATCTTATCTGGTGGTTCTTCTATCATCACAGGCTCTGCATTCTATCTCTCCCAAGTCCCTGTTTTGCTAGTTCATCAGCACAGTAGTTTCCTTCTCTACGGTTGTGCATTTCGAGAATGGTGCTGATCCTGATCAAGTGTTTGCAGTTTTCAGCCAAAACTCTGCTTTGACCAACTCTTCAACCAAACCATTGCACAGAACCAACGCAATGTTTACCAATGCCTACTCCATTGGTTCATGTTGTCACATAGCAAGTCAATACTCTTGCCTACTCTGCTATCTTTTTGTGTCTGGAGCCAAAACAGATGGCAATTGTAAAAGCATGTAGTGTTGTTGTTGCCTGCCACCACAGATAATAGATACATAAATTTACTTTCAGTGTTCATTATCATTTTTGTATCATTTTCAACCCTAACATGTCAGAAGTCCTCTTTTTTTTTTTTTTATCCCATGAATAGGGTTAGAACGTTTGGCTAATCCATAAAATAAAATGCAGGCAATGTATTTGAAAGAAACGTGTCTATTAGAGATGCTGTAGAATGTAATGGGTGCAAATTCTAAGTGTTGAAGACACAAAACGAAAAGTCAATAAATTATGTATTTATAGTATTGTGCATATATATGCTAACAAGGATGTGCGTTATACGTAAATATATTTAAATAATAATTTTATATAATAAATTTAAATTAAATATGTAATTAAATTGAATAATAAATTATGTGTAAAATAATCAATTCTTATTTCAGTTTTTGTTAAATCTCATTATTGATTTATTCTACCCCTCTTTGAGTATTCAATTTGTCATTTGTTTAGGTATTTCTAGGATCTATTAGACATTTTCTCTTTTGTTTATGAAGAAATTTAATTATAAGATTGTCATTATTAAATACTTTCATATGTAATTGTAATATAGATTTGTTATATTTTTGTCAAAAAGATCGATTAAATTCCATTATACTATATACTATGATATTTTTGCATACAAAAAAAATTAAATATAACATATATTTGACCGTAGAATGCATTCTGACAACTCCATGTAGATAGTAATAAAATATAGATTGGACTTTATTTTTTATATAAATATAAACATAAATATTGAAAATCTTGTGTAAGTGTATTACTAGTATATGAGTCTAAAAGAAATTTGGAGTCAAATGCTATTAATAAAAGAATCCAAAAAAAATTCAAATTCAAATAAATGTAAAAAATAAAAAATAGATAAAAATAATAAAGAAATTAGGAATCAAATATTGTTAATTAAAGAGTCCAAATAAATTTAGAAGTCAAATAAGTATAAAAAATTAAAATTAAACGGAAGTAATATGTGGGTAATTAGGGATAAAATAAAAAATAAAAGAAAATTCACGGATGCTAACATAAGTATAGATAATTTAGATAAAGATACATATAGATATATATAGCATCTCTATATTCCTCAACATAAAAGGACAAAGCAGTCGGGCAAATCACACACATCAAATATCTACTAAAAGAAGACCCTGATCCTCAAAAAACCTAGCCAATACGAGACACTCATGGACGACAAGTCTGTCCATCCATCCTTCCCCTAGAAATGACGATGCAGTTGGCAATCACTTTGTCTTACGTGTTTTTGACTATGTGCAGTTGTTTTAAGGCAATTTCAATTCTATTGGATAAAATAGTTATTTAAAATATATTTAAATATTAAAATTTTTATTTTAATTAATTATTTTTTAAAATTCATTCCAACCCCGCTCTCAATTTTTTGTCCCACTAGATCAACTACCTTTGACTAACTAGATCAACTACCTTTGACTAACTTAAAAGCACAAATCTGATTTCAGCACAAAAGAAAAAAAACAGGAAAAAAGTATAATCAAACTTTTTAGAGCACAAAAAGATAATCAAACAGGGAAAAAAAGCATAATCAAAAGTTAGAAAAAGATCTGATTTAGGCAAAAAAGGAAACAAAACAAACTTCTCAGAGGGGTTATTGGCAGCAAAACAACAGGGAAGAGGAGGGGTTTTTGGCAACAAAACAGGGAGCAAATCAGTGGGAGGGGGAGGGGTTTTTGGCAGCTAAACAATCGGGAGGGGAGGAGTTTTCGACAGAAAAACATGCAGCAAAATTGATCACTAACATCAGCCAGAAACAACATATAGCAGCAAGAGGAGGGGAGATGAGTACCTGGTTCTGTATGTAGCAACAACTGGGGAGCAAATTCAGCCTCTCTAGATCTGGCGAGCAAAATTTGGCCTCCTAGATTTTGACGAGGACGGCTAGTAGGTTGGAGTTGAATTTTTAAGTGTTGCTCGCCAAATTAGCTAAAAAGGAAGGATGACCAGCAACGTTGGAATTGTTCTAAGAACACTAAGAGCAACTCCAAAGGCTCGTTAAACAGTCTTTCCTAGCTATTTTAGATAGCTTCTCCCTAAAATTTGGCTCCAACATGCTATTTATTCCACTGTCTATTTCCCATAATCCACTTTTCACGTGCTGTTTCTGGCGAGTCACTTCGCCCTCGCTGTTTCTCGTGCCAATTTCCTCCTCACACACACACTCTCCCTCACAGAAGCTCCACAGCACCCGAATTTCGTCTTCATCAATCACAGAATTGTCATTGTCCACTCAAGTACGGAGTTATCTCTTTCTTTCTTTTTCTCTCTCTCTCACACACACACACACAGAAACTCTGTGTATTTATACTACAGAAAAATCCACCAAAAATCTACTGAAATCCCACCAAAAACCCACCGAAATCGCACTAAAAAACCCACCTAAAACCCATCCAAAAAATCCACCGAAAACCCATTAAAAAATCCACCAAAATTCTACTAAAAAACCCAATAAAATTTGTCTCTCGATTCCCACCGAAAATCGACTGAACCACTCTCTCTCAGTTTCAATGGATGTACAGGTACAATACGGTGGATCAAGGTCTTGTAAATGAGGAGGTTCCACCACTCAAAAACAAACACTACTTTTTACTGTTTAAAATATTTGTTTAAAAAAAGCCACAAAAAAAAGAAAAAGAACTTTTGAAAAGTTACTAAATGCCAATTTTTTTTGTACACCTGTTTTTCTATAAAAATTCACTGCAGTGAATAAACATTTGGAGTCCGTAACCCTCCTTTATCACTGGTTCAGGTACAATTAGTGCTTCTCACTCTTCCCTTCACTTTCCCCATCTCTCTCTGTCTGCATGCTCCGGCGACGCGCATGATATCCAATTTCCTGTGAGTTCACTTCAGAGCGCCTTCTTTCTCAGGCGATCCTTCGTCATCGTTGGGCTACTAAAAGTGTCAGATTATCAGGTAACCTCTGTTCGGTCTGAGATTAACTTTCTTATTTTCGCCTCACTTCTCTGTCTATCTGATACAAACATATGTATGGCCGATCTTATACAACAGGAGAGAAGAAAAGACAGTGCGGTTAGAGAGAGAATCAAGTGTTTGTGTCTTTACTGTTAGAGAGAAGCTAGGTCTAGTATGTCATGGTGCGCCTTTTTTTGTATTTTTGTATAGGTATTTTGCTGGTGACATCTCATGTTTCCTTAATATGCTGATATTTAATCAAGGAATATACAGAGTGAATTTACAAATGCGATTAAATCTCATTTGTGAGTGAAAAATGAGTTTTGTGAACTAGGAATTTGATTCTCAGTTCATTCGCCTCTGATTTTATAGATGCTTTTGCTCATGTGTGTGTGAGATTGCCTGATTACTCTCATATTGCAAAAGACTATACCTAGTCTAGCTAAGCACTTTGAATTTTGTCCCCACATAGTTTTCGCCTCCATTTCTATCACAAGTTGAATCATTTAATTTTTTATTAATTTATAGCTCAACACAATTTTATTTTGGACACTTCATATATGAAAGTGTACAAATATTGATATTTTTTTGAGGTCATGTATTTTAAGAAAATTTTATCAATTACGTAATTAAAGAACTGGGAGGAAATAAAAATTATTATTTTATATGGTGGAATTTTTTGAGGGCTTGGATTTTATGTTGCACCGTTGGACATTGTGCATAACTATATATACGATAGTGTACATATGGTATTTTTTATTTTTTTTGAGGTCATGGATTTTGAGAAAATTGTGTCAAATTTTTTTTAAAAAAATAATGGGAGAAATTAATTTCAAATTATGTAATTAAAGAAAGAGAGGAAAGAAAAATTGTTATCTCATATAGGGGGATTGATTTTTTGGGCGTTTAGATTTCATGTTGCAATGTACTTTTGGACACGGATTATTGCTAGTGTGTGTGTGTGTATATATATATGACATTTCTATATTCCTCAACCCAGAAGCAAGCTGGCAAGCAAGTCACAAACATCAAATATTGAGTAGAAGAAGCCTCGTTCTTAAAAAACCTAAGCCGCTGGTCATGGACAAGAAGCCTATCCATCCTTTTCATAGCAATGAAGATGCAGTCGGTAGTCACTGTCTCTCTCTTTGTGCTTATGTGTTTATATGCACTCGAAACAAAAGATGTTTGTTGTAGTCTGAGCATTTTATTAGAGGTGTCTAAATGGTTTGTTTTAAATCTGGGCATAGTTTTTATGTTGTATGAACCTTTCTGATTATGTGCAGAAATTTCAAGAGTACTGAGAGAGGTTCCACCAGCTGACTACCTATTTCAAATCAAATCGTTTTCATTGCTTTCCAAGACAAAAGAGAAAAGATTTGAATCAAGTGACTTTGAATCAGGTGATTACAAATGGTGAGTTGACATAGAAATCCTTTCTTCTCTCTAGGGGAGGTCTTCTTACTCTTTGAAGGTCAGGATAAGTTTTCTCATTACGTGCTTTGCCTTGTTTGCAGGAAATTGTGTCTGTACCCGAATGGATATGAGAAGGAAAATGGGAAAGGACACATCTCTCTATACTTGGCAATATCGGATACAGATACATTACCTCTTGGTTGGGAGGTTAATGTCAAATTCGACTTGTTTGTGTATGATCATATCCGTGACAAGTACCTGACCATCCAAAGTAACATTTCTCAAAAATGCACATACTTGTTCTACATTCTTGTACTTGTAGTAGTAATAATAACTCTTTTTAAGCTGTCAGAGAGAGAGAGAGAGTATAGCTTAATTGTTTATGTGTATAACTGGCATCTATCATGTGTGTAGATGCTGATGGGAGAGTAAGACATTTCCACAGGTTTAAGACTGAGTTCGGTTTCGCAAAATTACTTTCCCTCGACACTTTCAAAGATGCTTCTAATGGATACCTCATTGATGACTCCTGTATGTTTGGAGCCGAGGTTTATGTCATTAAATCTACTGGCAGAGGAGAGTGTCTTTCTTTCGAGGAAACTTCTGTCGATTGTTACAATTGGGAGATCCAAAAATTTTCAGAAATAGAAGATGAGCAGTTGTTCTCTGAAACTTTCACCATTGGAAAGCAAAAATGGTTTGAGCCCTTGGAGTTCCTCAATTCTTATTCTGTATATACCATAACTAGATGGAAATATTTCTTATATGCCGCTTTCTTTATTGATCCAGGAAGATGGTTGTTTATCCCAAAGGAAATGGCTGTGAAGAGGGCAAAAGCTTATCCGTCTTTCTACGTATAGCTGATTGCGGATCCTTTCCAACAAAGCAAAAATTATATACAGAATTTAGCTTGCGAGTAAAAGATCAAGTCAATGACAATCACCACGAAATGAAATGTGAACATATGCCCTGCATTTCTAACATTTGTCCTTTTTCACAGATTCCCAAGTACAGCTGATGAACTGGGAAACTGGTTTGTCAAAATTTTCTTTTTAAAATTAGTTTGTTCACTAGGTCTAAAAATTTTCCTTTTAATTTTCTCTCACAGTTGATGGTTGGTTCTGTGACCCGAGCAAAGGCAGGGGTTTTGTAAAGGCAATTTCTCTTGCAGATCTCCATGACACAAGAAAGGGCTTCATAATACGAGATATTCTGGTTGTTGAAGTACAAATTCATGTGATGTCTGATTTGAAACAGTTCTCTTAACAAGAGGATTGTGCCTGTGGCTTTAGAAAACACTGTTTTGTATGGTTTATGCTTTGGAAGCCAATATTGTTCCTTCTTTATCTAAGTAGCTGGCTAGTAACAATTTTCCAACTATTCCAATTGTTACGTTATCTATCTGGATAAAGTAAAGATATATTGGTACCCACTTTTGCTATATATAATCTATATTTTGCATTTTATATTTAAATGATTTGGTTAGGCAAAAAATTTATTCTTCCGTTTTCATATCATATATTACATGTAATTAAAATTCCAGAACAATGCATATAAAAAAACACCGTTAGAAGGGTGAAAAGAAGCTTGAAAATCTTGACTTACTAAAATCCCAAAAGAGTAACATAAGAAATTAATACTCAAAATATAAGGGTTGCATTTCGTACATTTGTTCTGGAAAATTGAAACAGAAATTGTAATATCCTGGTCTATTGTAGCCTGTCTCACGGTGTGCTTGACTGGCGAGTATATCGTCTCCACGGCTTTCCTTTTTTCGGGCTGTCTCTACTTTTCTTTTTTTGGGTTGTTCTTCAAGCCTTCGAGTGCCAATCTTTGCTTGGGTCGGCTTTGAGGCTCTATCCTGACTTTTCATTGGTTTCTCTTAGGGCCTTTATCGTTCGTATCGTGCATGCATCTTCAAGTAATCGGGGGAGGCGCAGAGTACCGAATGTCTCATCTAGCGTCTCCAAACGCATTTGAGTCTCGAAACCACATCCATTCAACGATATTCGACCAAGGCTTGAAAACCTCTTGAACATGGAACAGTATTTTAAAGCGGTTGTTCATGCCCCTGTTGACTACTAAGTCACAATGGCAACAATGTATCTCTCTGGGGATGCAAAGAATATTTAAAACCATTCTTGAACTATCACACGGATTCTGACCCAACTGCCATGATATGGTAAAAACAGAATGGAAGTAAAAAAAAAACAATTCTATACGCAGACGTGAAAGCTCTATCAACAGAAGCATTCTAGTTTATCCTATTTTGATTTAGAGAGGAACAATTCCCTTATTTGAGAACCTCCATTTCCACACTATTCCTCCCCACTAAAAAAAGGATTGTTCTCTTTCACCTTTTGATGGATAAATGTTGAGAGAATGAAGGATGATCAACTACGTAATCTCTACTGCCTGTCCATTTAACTAGTGCTATATGTTTTCCACTGAGCTTTTAACAAGGATATAATCATCTTGACTGCACAACAAACTCAAAAACAAATGTTTTGTTTTGGTCCCATGGAAAAGTAAAGGGTCACCTAGGTGCTCGTATAAAAATAGTGTTGGCTACGTCAACATAAAGCAGAGATTTGATCTTTTATCTGGTGGTTCTTCTACCATCACAGGCTCTGCATTCTCTCTCCCCAGTCCCTAATTTGCTTGTTCATAGCACAGTAGTTTCCTCTTCTTTTTTTTATGATAGGTAGTATTACTGGAGAGTAGGACGTCAAGATTCAAACAGGCAATTTTAAGATTTAAGAAGGGGAACGGTGGCTCTTGGATGTAAAGCCGAAAATGGATTGGGCTTCCTCAAAAGGTGGGATACAGATGGAGCTACAAGATCTGCAATAAATGATTGGAGATTCACAGTCCAGGCCCTGTTAGCATGGGACAGTGTTCGTATGGAGAAAAACGTTGTCAGAGCGGTTTATACTTTCAATTTTATCGAAGTCATATTTTTTTCCTTAAAATTATCACTAATCATTTACCTCACCAATCATTCCTTTGTCAGACTCACATGTTATCACTCATTTCTATCACATGTTTAATTATTTATATATGTTCTCCCTAAAAATATCGTATCATTCGTTTCTATCATATATTTAATTATTTAATATTTGATTAATTTATAGTTAATATAATTTTTATTTCAAACATTATTCATATATAATAGTATATACATGTTGAAAAAATTTAATATAGTGAGATCGATTTTTTGAACATTCGAATTTTATATTTTATCGTACCTTCAGGCACGGATTATAACTAGTCTTATATATGGTTTATCCTCCTACCGAATGATTTTAATTCCACACCTCATTTCTCAATAGGAATGTCGGTGGATCGAAAAAATAGAGAGAATTGTTTAAATTCGTTCCGTTTAAATTAAAATGGACTATATGTACTGGACAGTAAACGTATATAAACCAAAACTTATCCTTGCACCGCTAATTCAAAACTCCAAGCGAGACATAAAAATATATCTTTATTATTGTTATTGTTATTGTTATTACTCAATTATGCGAAGATTACGTTGTTAACTTATTTCTTTGTTTTTTATTTTGATTATATCATATGATACAGACATATAATGATACAACTTGTACTTTAATTATTATATTTTTTTATTTTTTTTCTTAAAATCACATAAATTAATTGTTATATGCGAGAGTGAAGGCAGGGCCAGGTGGCAGGGCATGGACTAGAATTTACTTGTATGGTGGGGATAGGGATTAAAATTTATCTTGTTAACAAAGATGGATCGGGAATAAACGAACTGTTTTTTAAGTGGATACGGTGTAGAGACTCCTCCCCCGGTCTATTATCATTTCTATATCTCAACCATTAATTTTAAAGTTTATGTTTTCGATTTTGAACTAAAAAAATAATAAGACATAAAAAATTTAAACGTATAACATTTTTATTAAATAAAAAAAATGACATTCACTCATTATTAGGAGTAATCACAATGATCACATTTTTGTTTTCTGGATTCTCATTATGTCTTTAGTTGGAGAGCATTTACAATAAGCTCTCCATTTGTATAAATTAAAATAGAGAATCTAATTTCATTATTTATATTTAAAGAGATAAACTCATTTTATATTTTATCTTTATTGAAAAAAGATACACACGTTTCTTCTTTATTTGATGTTACTTACTGTGAATAAGTGTATTCTAGTCCAATAGAAGGTCCTATTGGAATTGTATTAAAAAAAATTACCGTTGTATTTCAAAATTTACTTAAAAATATTCTCTAAAATTTATATAATAAAGTAGTTAAATTATTTATTTTAAACTTTTCACGACTCAAATCGTTTTTGATCCGATGGTCCTAATTGGACTTTCATTCGTTTTATAATTTTAAGACTTTCATCCCTCGTATAACTCTATCTATCTATCTTGTATGCTTTCATATTATTATTATTTTTTTGTTTTCACTGTGTTGTTTTTGTTATTATTTATTTTATAAAACAGATGAAACTATATGTTATGCAATTATTTATTCTATAAAATTAATTCAAAGTTTTTATATATCTAATGATATGTATTTTAACATTTGTTTCTTAATTTGTAAATAACACTTAATGTAAATAAAAATAACACATTAATAATAAAAAATCAAATAATATTCAACATGAAAATGAACCTTAGATTATACATTAATAAATAATTTTATAAAAAATTGACATTTAATTTTGTCCAATTTATATTCAACTTTGTCGAAATAATATGAAATTAATTTTTCCTGTTATCAAATTAATATTGAAATTTGTTTAGTCAATTTTTTGGAGTACTAAATTATATCAATTTTTAATTTTTTTTAGTACTAAATTTGGAGAAGGAGAATTGTAAAAATAATAAAAAATTTTGTGATGGAATTATTAATTTTTGTTAATGACAATGAAGAAGGGAGGCAGAGGGGCCTCTGTGAAATGAATTCAAACCTCAAGGGATCTTCGTGTTATTTACAAATTGTCAAAAAGGTGTCCGTATAATATTGTCAAAACTCAAGAAATGTCCATAATTTTTACTCTATTTTTTAATTATTATTATTTTATCTTAAAAACTTGAATTATTTTATTTTAATAAAAACAGTTATTGGTTAGGAGGGTTTGTTAGTAACCAAAAAAGAAATGTGTGAGTTTTTTTTTGTGTATTAAATAGTGATAGTAATAATCAATTCATGAGTTTTATAAATGAGCAAGATTTGATTGATTTTATTTATCATTTAAATATTGTGAATTTAATTGTGTTATGTTAGTTTTTTTTTTTTTTTATTTTGCTATAGAGCGGATTGGAAATATAGTGGTTGAGTTTATAATTATGTTGTGTTATTAGATTGAGTGGTAGTAGAGGTGATAAATTCGTGAGTCTTATAAATTAATAAAATTTTATTTATTGCTTAAAGATTATAAATTTTAATGAGTTATGTTAGTATTTTTTTTTCAGATGTATTTGTGTATATGATGTTGTTTTAAAGAGTTTTTATATATTTTTATAATAGTACCATTAATATGTAAGATATGTGATGATATATTTCAAGTCATTTTAAAAGAAGAATTAATATGAATATTTTTAGGTCATTTGATACGAATATTTTTAGGTCATTCTTTTTAAATTTAAGCAATTATTTTAAATTTTTTTATTTATTATATAATATCTTCAAACATAAATAATAACTAATATAAAATACCGGTGATAGTCGGTAGACCACGTCACCGGACAAAAACTCTTGATCCAATTGTGTGGCTTTCCCGCTGACGATTGACTCCTTTCTTCTTTTTCTTTTCTTTTCTTTTCTTTTCTTTTGATCGAGGATTGATTCACTTCGGGTGACAATTTTTAACATAAAACAAAAATAAATTTAAAATTAATACAAAATTAACGGGTTAAAATTAATCATTTTTTAACATGAATCTATATATAATACTGACTCGTTAGCACGAATAATAAATAAGTTAGGTTAGTGTCAAACACGAATAATACGAAATTGATACATTTAGTACATTTAAATAGTATTATAATAATAAAATTTTATTTTTTATTATATTTTATTAAATAATGACTTAATTTTTATAAAAAATATATAATTTATTTTTTTTATTATTATATTTATTAAATTAATTAAAAAAAATTTGAGCATAGATTCAGTAATAATAAAACCATCACAAGCCGATTTAATGGACTTGACTACAGAAGCTTGAGGTTGTACTTCGATGGAGGAATGAGAAAAGGTACAGACAGCCAGCCGCCTAAAATTT